ACACTCCTTCCCTGGGGACACTTCCCACCTGGAAACACTCCTTCCCTGGGGACACTTCCCACCTGGAAACACTCCTTCCCTGGGGACACTTCCCACCTGGAAAGGCCCTTCCCGCAGGTGTCCCGGCTGAAGCAGGCGCTGCAGGAGAGCCAGGCGGAGAAGGAGAACGTCCTGCTGGACAAGGAGGTGCTGCTCCAGCGCCTGCACAACCTGGAGCAGGAGATGGACGCCAGGAAGCGCTCCCAGGACGACCGATCCCGGCACGTCAAAACGCTGGAGGTGGGAGCGAGATCCCAAAAAAATAATCCCTCCCTCTCCCCGGCCCTGCAGTGCCCGGCGCCGACAGAGAGGGGCAGAGCGGGCCTGCCTGTCATTCCCGTGCCTGGAAGCGCTGGGATGGGATCGGATTCCCGATTTTATTGGTTGCCGGCGCGGCCGCTCTTCCCAGCTCTTCCCGGCTCTTCCCGGCTTTTCCCGGCTCTTCCCGGCTTTTCCCGGTGCCTCTCCAGGGCTCGGTGGGGGCTTCTCCCCCCCCGGGGTGGTGGGTCATATCCCAGCATTTCCAATCCCTTCCCAAATCCCGGGATGCATCGGAGCTTCCCCGGCTTTGCGTTTTTGGAGCGGATCCGTTTCCTCTGGAATTCCCGCTCCTTTCCCGCTTCCCATCGTTCATCCCACCCCCCCCCGCGGCTCGAACTGACCTTCCTCATCCCGAATCTTTCGCAGGAGAAGTCCAAGCGGCTGGAAGTGGAGCTGGATGAGGAGAGGAGCACGGTGGAGCTGCTGACGGAGCGGGTCAACCGGAGCAGGGACCAGGTGGGAGCCGGGATAACCCGGGATAACTCGGGAATTCTGGAATTAACACCACATTAACGACTCCCTGACGAGCAGCTCCGTCACTAAATTCGATGGGAATGACAATGGGAATTGTGGTGTTGGAAGAGTTTGGGCGTGAATGGGAATTACACGAGTTTAGGGAAGAAAGAAAAAAAAAAATCCGAAAGAAATTCCCAGGAATTTACAGGGCGAGATTTGGGGTTGGGGTGGGAATTTGGGGGCTGAAATCCGCTTAAATCCCGGACTCTTCCCTCCGTCTGACCCCACCTGGTTATTCCCTCAAAGCTGGAGCTGTTGGAGCTTCCTGGGATTCACCAGGATCCCAGTGGAGCCTCCTGGGATTCACCAGGATCCCAGTGGAGCCTCCTGGGATTTACCAGGATCCCAGTGGAGCCTCCTGGGATTGTCCAGGATCCCGGGATTGGCCTCCCCCTCCTGTCCCACAGGGATCCAGCCTGGGGCTTGGAAAGGGAATTCCCTCCCCTCAGGCTCTGACAAGGGGGGCAAAATGGGTGGGTTTCCCGCTTTTCCATCTGGGAGACATCCCAGGGGATGCTTTTCCCGCAACCCCTGGACGTGCCCGAGGCAGTTCTGGTTTGTCCCATCCGTGGATCAAACCCATTCCCGCCCCCGAGTCCCCAAATCCCAGTTCCACCAGTTGAAACCCTCCGGTGGGAAACTCCAGCCCTGGAGCTCCGGGCTGCTCGTGGAATTTGGGTTGGGAAGGACCCGAAAATCCTCCCGGGGGAGGTTTTTGGATGTCCCGTGGGATGGGACACCCGAGCCCGCCTGGGCTCCGCGGCGCCGCTTTCCCGGCGGGAATTCCGGCGGGAATTCCGGCGGCTCCTGCATCCCACCTGGCAAAGGACGTGGCGAATCCCAACCCGGAGCCGTGTCCTCGTTCCCAGATCGACCAGCTGCGGGCGGAGCTGCTCCAGGAACGCTCCAGCCGGCAGGACCTGGAATGCGACAAGGTGTCCCTGGAGCGGCAGGTAGGGATGAGCCACGGCAGGGATGGATCCAGCTGGATCCACCACCAGATCCCTGTGTCCCAGGGGCAGCGGGATGGACCCTTTGCCCCGCGAGGCACGCGGGGAAAAGCCTCTTGGAGCATCCCTTGGGAGCGAGGCTGCGTTCCCAAGGAGCTCTTCCTGCTGCCAAGTCATTCCTCCTCTGTGCTCCGGATCCATCCCATCATTCCCATTCCCCATCCCTGGAGCCCTCTGCCACCTCCCAGAGCGCCTTTCCCTGTGGAATTCCCCCCTTTTCCCTCGTGATTCCCACCGTCCTGCCGGGACTTGCTCTCCCAGCCCTTGGTTACTTAACGAGCCGGCTCCTAACGAGCCGGATCGATGGGAACCGACCCCCCCGAGCTGGGCTTGTTCCCACTCTGGAATTGCCACTTCCAAGGAAAACGTGGGGCTCCTGTTGACACCTGGAGGGGGCTTGGGGGGGAATTTTTTGGCTGACAAAGGGATTCAGGAGCAGGAATTGGGGAGGTGAAGGGGGACGAGCATCGCGGGGTTGTCCCACTCGGTGTTCCCAGTGTATCCCAGTGTATCCCAGTATATCCCAGTCCCCTCCGGCCTCTCCTCGTGCCCAGGCCGGTGCCAACACGTTAATTGCTGTTATATAACCCGGCTCCTCCTCGGAAAAGGCTTTCTGGGCCCTGACTCACCACCAGCTTTACATAAACCAGGCCTGGGACCTTCCCCGCCCAGCCCAGAGCCCCGGGGGTGGGGACAGGGATAAAATTTTGGGGAGGGGATTTTGCAAAAGTGGGAGTGTGACAGGGATAAAATTTTGGGGAGGGGATTTTGCAA